GTTCGCTCTCCGCTCGCCACAACCAGGCCGGACTGAACCCCGTGCGGCAGACGCCGGCCGTGGCGGCCGCTGAACGCTGCCAGGCGGGGTGGAGCCGCCACGTCCGGACCGGGCGGACCGGAGCACCACGGTGGCACGTGAGCACCACGGAAGGGCCCGGGTGTGGTAGAAAGGGCCAACTAGTCAGGGCATGTAGACTTAAGTCCGATCCCACCACCGTGTCCACCGTGTTGGGCATGTGACCCAATGGGTGCCTTGCACCATTGGATCCCATTGGTGGATAGACTTGATTCTTGATCCGGAAGAAAGAGTGTGTGGAGACAGAGAAAAATAGATCCCTGTACTAAGGGTGTATCTTCAACATCAGAGTCCCTGGGTTTTGAAAGCCCACACAAAGCAATGTCCAGCTCATCACGATGGTTTGAAACCAAAGCAACCCTCCAGATCCAAAAGCGTGATTGGCAATGGTAGTCTTTGAACCACACAAAGATCCATTCAACCACATCCTGCAACGCAAGGATTCCAATTCATGATTTCCCATGAGTTGGGATCGGAAAGAGTAGCTGAGTAGCTTTGAGGTTCGGTCAAACTCATTCTCATCGAATCACAAGCCCAAAACACTCGGAACTGGAACATCTGCCGTTTTTGTGAGCACCCCTGGCACCACCCCTGGCCGTTTAAACAGGCAGTCGGCAGTCCCAGGTGTCGTGTTTGGGAAGTGGTGTTGATCGGAAGTGTGCCGCCCTCACGGTCAGAAAACTGCCCAAAACTGCCCAAGCAGCGAATCAAACGAAAGAACCATGTGCTTCGCAGGGCCCTGTTTTTGCCTGCAACACTGCTCGGCCATGCTTGGCCACTCCGTCGCTGCTGGCAACGATCTACCGAACCCTGTGATGTTGCTCCTTGGTCTTCACAGTCTTCCACAAAAATGGCTTCACATCCCACATGGCAACACTCACTGCTGCTCAAGGACGTGAGTCTAATCTGTGCCGAAAACGCCCACAAACTTGAGGTGCTTTGCCCCTTCTGCTTGTGCTGTGGCCTTCACCTTTTGAGTCTCAGATCTCTACCTTCGGACCTAGATGAGACCTGCTCATTCTTGACAGCAAAGGACACTTATGTCCTGACGGTCCACAACAGTCCTTTGAAACAACTGTGTTGTGCCAAGTGCAGATGGCCGCCCATGGAAGAGCTCCTGTTCTCTTGTGTTCTCTTCTACCTATCCCGGCCCTTGGTAGGAGTGTTTCATTTGTGGCTCCAGCATCCAATCAATTAATGTATGAAAACATCTATGCCGCATCCATAATGTACATAGTGCACTGACATTCCCGTGTATAGCCGCGCCATCTCATCTTGCGCCTGGAATGGCCCGCATCGGTCGCGCCCTTTCAAAAGGTTAGTGGAAGGCCTTGCAAAGAGTGGCTATGGCCATTCGGATGGTACGTAACGCCAGTGGCCTCGGCCCCGCCGTATCAGGCATGTCAGAACGTGCTCCTGCGGGAGGAGTTGGCAGGAATGCCGCAAATGACGGAATGCCGGGCCTTCACTTCGCACACGATACGATCCCCAACAGCCCTCCGGTGTCGCTTCAACCACATGCGTTGAAGGGTGAGGCGGCACCCTGGGTCGGCTGAATTTGGGCGGGAGTTTGATTCGACATGTGACATCAGTGAGGTGAAGTTTCCGATCCGGCTGAATCCGGCTTGAGATTGATACTTAGCAGCGACAGCTGTCTCGACATCAGAGACCTCATCCCAAGCCACCTGCAAAACGCTGCATTGCAACACATGGGAACCGCTGCCGCAACAGCATGGAGATTGCGGTCTCAGACGACCGAAGAATCTTCATTCCCAGTCAGTTGACCTGCGCGGAACCGAACCTATTGCTTTTTCAAAAGTGAGGAGGGCGATCTTTCTGAAGAGGAAGGGCATGAGAATCTATGAGGACAGTTTCAATGAGCTCTGATTTGGGAGACACTTTGATGTTACCATGCTCTGAGAGACACAGTGAGGACCATCAAGACGTGGCCAGTGAAATCCTTTCTGAGGACGACAGACACACAGAATAAACAAACATATTTGGCCATCTTGAAAGCATTCTCGAGGACACTGCGCATCACAATGAAAAGGATTCGACCAAGGGGTACTCCCACCCACTCCACTTTTCCCACAAACTCATACAAACTCGACTTCTCAAGAGCAGTTGGAGGCCAGGCACGGCGCCAGGGTCTGTCGAAACCGCCCCGACGCCCCACCCACTGTGGTGTCGGTGTGAACGCCTGGTTTCGGGGAGGGGCTATGCCGGAAGGACTGCCTCAAGCATCGGTAACCCCAAGACAAATGACTTGGAAGATATCTCTCAGGGGCGGTCCAGAATCTAAGAATCTAAGAATTGAAAAGATCTGCAAAGTGAATCCATTTAAGAATTGGATCACATCCAGCTCAGATGGAAGATTCATCCTTGAAAAAAGGTGGTTCCAGTTCCGATCTGGTTCTCCTCATCCTTCCGAGGCCTCCACGTACGAGGCTCCCGGTGCTGCGGCTTTAGACCACTGCCTCAAGCCGCCCGCGCAGGCGCGGGAAATCTGTGCTGAGGGTCGAAGCATCTGAGAGGCAGTGGTGGATGGAGATGATTCATTAGGTTTGGATACAATTTGGATATTGTGTTGGTCTTGTTTTAATGTGTATAGTATATTAAGATATAATAAGTGTATACAAATTGTTGTTAATATTATAAGTAAATGTAGAGTTGGATACATCTGGATGTTTTGATATGTGTGTCTTGTTTATTGTGCTTCCTGTTGGTTTAGGACTAATACCTGCCGACCGCAGCCATCGTGGCTTGTGGTCACAGACCTCAGCAAAAAGCACCCCGTCACTGGTGGGTAAGTATGGTGGTCCCATGCCCAGACACTTGATGGAACTGCCATGTTTTACAGATAATACTATTTAATATACTTAGAACACTGTTTCCAGGTACCATATACCATGTTTGTCCAACATATGTTCTAAGTATTTGTCCGTGACTATACATTTTTATACCTATATCAGGGGTGCTTTCGGAGGTGCTTCCAGGCACCTTCTTTGGCTGGATGGAGTCATCGCCCATCCAAACGCCCAACTGTTGCCGATCCGCGTTGGTTTTGGGGGGTCACTGGATGTCACTGGCAGCCATGTAAAGATACACATGGAGGTGTTTGGGCAACGTGATTAGCTCCAACATCAGGTCCAACTGTTTGTGCGACCTCCAAAGATCCCCTGTCGGCGGATGGCCGCTTTGAGCTCCCTGATTTGAGCATTTGGCCAGTCGCAGCCACTGAGCTGCATTCAGTTCGAGAAGCAGTTCGAGCAGATCCTGGGGAAGGACGACGTTCGGCCATCCGCGCGTATACCGGTTCGACGGCGCGACGGAAGGGGTAGCTGGATCGGTGAAAAGAAGGGTGGCCAAGACCTTCAGGTCTACGAAACCACCGACCGACCTTGGAAACCGTTTGCAGATTGTACCATGTCATGCAACCAGGTCCTGAAACCACTGTAAACTACGCAACGAGTGTTTACCTTGGGGACCTTGAAACCACTGTAAATGTCCATGCAGCTCTTCCAGTCCCATCGATGGCCCTCGGATCTCAGATCCTCACCCCGCAAAAAGACACGTGTCGCTGAAGACGAACGAGCACTCGCAATCCTCCTAACCTCGCCACTCTTCGATCGATCGATGCAGGACTTCGGCCTAAGAATTCGTTCTTAGGAACTTCTTCGTTTGGAGTGAGGAACAAAACTCCATCCCGCAAGCCGCAGGGGTCGAAACAGGTGATCCACTTTTTCTCGGTTTTCTATGCCGAAAACGGAGATGGAGGTGTGCTCTCCCGACCTCCGCCACCCATCGGTGGTGAATGATTCCATCCTCCAGCGAGTTTAGGTGGGTTTTTGTGTGGTACTCCATGTTTGAGGTACAAATACGGCTGGACCTTATGGGATGAAGACATTTGTTTTTTCGATGAGACACTAATAACCACAAGATCGTGTGACATGAGGATTCGTTGATGATTTTTTGCCTAAACAGTACGTGTCCAAGCTGGGTCACGCCTATTCCAAAGTTCCAGTCGAGTCAATCATCCAGGTTATGTTGTCCCACGTGCGAGACAGGTTTAAGCCAAACAAGTTGTTGGGAAATGTTGGGCGTCCGCTTTTTTCGATCTTTGAATCTTCGGTGTTGGATTCGACCCACCGGGTTGGGTGTTTCCAGTTCCCAGATTCCGACTTTCCCTTCCCTAGCACCTTTTTTTTAAAGAATCAGTTTTTGGGTTCCCACAATCGGATTTTGTGTTCCTTGGTTATTTTGGGTTCCCGCAATCGGTTTTGGGGTTCCCTAGGTGATTTTGGGTTCCCTCCACGGTATTTAGGGTTCCTGCCGCTATGTCTCTTTCCTTTTGTGGTGCTTGCATCCTGTAAGCAATTGCGCTAGCAGATGGTGCCCAATGCCAAACTAGCCCCGTTAGTACTTCTAGTATTCCTTGGTCAAACTAGCTCCGTCACTACTTCTAGTATTCCTTGGTTGTGGCCCAGTCTCTTTCCTTTTGTCGCCTTTTGCCCCATACTTAGTCCTGCCAGTTGGTCTTGGCTCAATTTGACCTTGGTCTCCCCTTTCAATGCCATGCCGTCATGGGAAAATGTCGACGAGGCCCAGAAGTGTATCTCTCAACTTGCTGCGCAACATGTTCTTGCTAAATTTGTGGAACCCCCTTACCGCTGTGTGCCCACCGGAAGTAGTGGTGGTGGTGGTGGTAGTAGTAGTAGTAGCAGTAGTAGCAGTACCAAGAGAAACTGAAACCGCAGAAAAGTTAGGGTCAGTACAGAAAGCCGAGACTTCTGCAGAAAACCTAGGTTCTTGAAAAAACGACCTTTCAATACCTTTCACAAGAATAGTCTCCATCCACTTGGATTCCTCAAAACCATTCAACATCATTTAACTGCACCCCCCTTGAGCGCATGCCTTTTTTTTCACTTGATGAAGCCCATCTCATGCCAGTATGCATACGATACCGCCAAAGACCGCTGTAACACGCGCAAAATCACCTGTCCCGGTCCAACTCTGCGAGCAAGCCGAGCCTTCTTCCCTATGAAATCCTCGTCCACCTGAACCCCAAACGTTAAGGGGTTCAAGATCGCACCACGTGATGTCGCACAGCGCAACATCACGTGGTGGACGATGTGAGCCTTCGGCATATAAGGGTAAAGCGCTTCCCCCTGATCATGGGACACTTTCGCAAGTTGCTGATATAACTGGAGAAATTCCATTCCTTTTCCACCAATCTGATGGCTCAAGGAAGGCTCCAACCATAAATCCGAAGAATACATGTCGTGAAGGCAAGTGTTGATTGCAGACGTTGCGGCCTTGGCCTTGGACAGGATGATGTCATCTGATACGTCAAACCTCGCAAAGTAACTTTGAAGAAAACGCAACAAGACTGTACTGACGTGGCCTTTGCTCCACTGCCCGTTGGGATAGGTTTTCCTATCATACCATCCGCAACTTTCCTTCGTCAGCGCTGTGATGTATGTAGGTTCACGGTGCTCATCAGCGAAGGTGAGGAACAGCGATGTCAAACGCTCAAATCGTGAGTCGACTGTACTTTCTGGGAAGCGATCCGTGATACGTGCCAATGTCGAAGCGGCAAAACTTTTTGCCATACCAAGATGGAACGCATGCCACAAGTCGTAGCTGAAGAAATCTGCCGGCCGTGATGGGCAGTGGGCGAGGTGAAGAAGCACGGGTCTCACTGTCCACGGCTCATCGCAGTACATCGTCTGAAGCCATGAAGGGTTCAAGCTCAGATCCTCGAAGTCGTGCTCCAAACGCCCTGCGTGGCACAGGTGGCAGATCCCTTTGGGCTTGCTCGTTTGTACCAATGCTTTCTTCGGAATGTTCAAATAGGATCGTTCCAAGTGGCCGCACTTTTGGAGCCATGCCCAATCTCCAACTGCATTCAGACAAGCAGCATGGTACCGTTCACCATGCTTGCCAGTGACGCCCTGCTGAAATGATCTGAGACAATCGCCTGTCATGAAAGTTAAAAGGTCATCAAGCGCCTGCTCGTCTTTGTGCATCTTGGGTAGACACCCAGTGATCATTCTGCTGGAGTGGGTGGAGCCCACGTAATTCAATCGAAGCTGCAGGTAGGATTTTGTTTTTCTGTTGGCATTTGCTAAAACCGTCCCGAATCCTATCATTGAATGATATGAGGTCACCAGGAAAGGGCCGCGTTTCCGGCCGCACCCCTCGTCGCCGTGCATCACGACGGGCAAAAGATGTTCAACTTTGATACCATGCTTCTCAATTTCAGCCCACACTTGATGGTCAGGCTCAGCAAGCCGATACAAGCGCCAAAACTCGCGAAGCAAGGCCCTTTCCCGTTTCGGGTCTGCATTGTGCAGGCCTAGTAACATATGCCAGACGTTGTGATCGATGATGAATTGAAGCCAGCTTTCCAAAGCGATCACGTGAAAGTTCCCGGAGTAGCGGACACCAGGAGATTTCTGAATTTCTCTGATGGGAACAGGGAGCTGAAGATTGTACTTCCTGGACACTCGCTCAACATCCCTTTCACTGTTGCTTAAAGTACACCGGCTCAACTCTATGAGACCACTGCTGGCTTCCGCAGCTGTCTCCCCGATATCACTCAAAACTCCACGCGCTGCTCTAATCACAGCTCTGCAAGTCGAGGCCTCGGCGTGACGGGCGCAATTCCGGTGGGAATTGTGCACCCGGGGAGAGAAGCAAGGACACATAAGAGAGAGGGATAGACATGTCAATTGGATCGTTTGAAGTGCATCAGGATCTTTTCAAAAGGTGGCTTGCCCTGCAGTCAGCCACACACACACACACTGACACTTGCAACGTTCATGGTTGTGCAAATGGATGCGCTGCACTTTTGCCCTGAAACTCAGAAAGCTCAATCGCAGATTCATCGCATGTGCTTTTAATTCAAGCACATCTGAAAATCTGACCACTCTTTTTGCGGCTTCTACTATAATATTCCCAGATCATGCACATGATGTGTCTATATATATTCAAATTGTGATGCACAGCAATCACTTCGGTTTGAACTTGAAAGACCTGTACACTACATAGCACATGGAGGCTCCATCCGGCTGGTCGGTGCTCACAGTGTCTCCCCCCAATCGCACATTCCTCGATCCAGGTTTACCTGGGCCAGTGCATGGTGTGGGTTGCCCGAATGCCGCAGCCAACTTTATTCGCTACATCGCTTTCGTAATGGCAACATACATGTCAATCTGACGCACACATATATATAGGACCTGTCCAGTGATGTCCAGTGCCTACATCAAACAGTCATATCAGCAAACAAATGCAGCCTAGATGCTTTGATATTTCTGGATAAGAGCGGCTTCTAGCATTGCCGTAGAAAATGGTTCAGGCGCAATGTGCAAAACGACCATGTTGGACCACTTGTCTCTTTCATGGCAATATCCATACAAATCATTCTCCCAACGCCAGATTGGGTTGTGGGTCCAGCCAATTTTGAAGATCATAGGATACCATTTGGTGAATAACCTTTCAAGAGCATTGGTGCAATGCTCAAGCACACGCCCAGCAGAAACATTTGCCGGTGGTAGATCAAAAGCTATGCATGGCATGGTGGTTGCCTCCTTGGCAATGCCGACAAGGCGGGTGTTGCCCTGAAGTTCCGGTGGTATTTTTTGGAACCACGGGGGGATCTCTGAGGCAATTGGTGCCGAAGGTGCACTTTCATGGGATGACGCATCCCCCAACGATCGGTTGCCCGATGCCAGGCACTCCGGATCTCCACCAGAGCACGGTCGCCCGGGCGGCATTGCCCATGGGAAAGGGCCTTCAGCTTCCTTAATGGATGGGTCGGAGAGATGGTTGAAAGCTATATATAATCGATTTGTTTCGTACCATAAGCTTGTGAACGGATGTGAGAACATATCTTAATTGTTACATAGTGCCTCTGATCTCCTCTGCATACATGGGATTATGGTCATGTAAAAATACCCCCGGCCTATGTAAATCCTGGAAGCCACACACAAACGCCACACTATATATAGTTCAAACACACTCATGTACAAAAGACCATGTATATGGGTGACCTGCACACCTTCCTTGTTATGACCTGTATATTATAAGTGTTTTTGAATAACTATGTAGACCCAAATGTGGAAAATAAAGCCCGGATTTGACTTTTGGCATCTGATGACTTCGGTTCTTTCATCCCTTGCCCGTGAAAGATGACTGCCAAGGGTCCGTCCGGTGACAGCACAGCAAATCTAAGAGTTCTTCTTCAGCGGTTTCGTCATCCATTGCTCGATCGACTAGGGTCTTCGGAGGCTATATAATTGTGAATTGCCTATATACAATATATAATGCATATATGTTCATATCATTGATCATATTGCACTAAAATCGGTTTGAGATGTTGGACTATCTCGAAGCTGCAAATTGGTCAAAAGGAAACACATCTTTTAATTTGTCTCGGCAACTTGACACCAGCAAAACCTATAAGATATATTCATGTGTATGTTGAGCTGTGTCCAAATGTAATGCATCACCAGAAGTGTGGAAATTCAATGGTCGAACTCTTGTATAGACCCAAAATGGCCATTTGTCTCATGGTTGTTTGGATAGACCACTGCATTGCAGCGATGGCTGAGGCCAAAGCTCCTTCACCGACATCTTTGCTCAAAGTCTGCAGAGCATTGCCAGCACCTGGCATGCAGGGATGGTGGTGTTGAGATATGGGTTCGGAAGGGTGGGGGCTGAGGAAAAATGGTTGGTTGCGTCAGAATAATGGTTTCCTCAGTCGATCTATATATATGCAGAGTCCAGCGGCGAAAGGAAGGGACAAAAGGAAAGTTCTGATTTTTTCATCCGCACATGTCTCCAATCCCGTGCGCAAGCCTTTGAAGACCGCATCAAGTCTGCCCATGTTGAAAGGCTCAGGTATATATAGCTTATATAAATTGTAAATGAAGAAACATGCTGACACTATATATATATATCTAGACATGGCATATCATTATATTTATATATATTTAGAACTCACAGCCTTTACAGGCAAGATGACACGATGGTGGATTCGGTCCTCAAATTGGACCAGTCCCACAAGCATTACCCTGTCCCGATTTCATGACAGGTGGCCTGCAGGTTCCCTCATGAGATGCCGTTGGGAGTTCCAACGCAAAATGCGATTGCTCTTAGGCAATCTGTCCCTACATAAGATAAAAGTATTCACTTAGACTTTCTAGCCCTTTTCGGGGCCTGAGGCTCGCCCTCTTCAGGTTTCTCACTCTTACCCTTTCCGTGCTTAGACCTGCCCTTCTCCTTCTTCTCCTTCTCCTTCTTCTCCTTCTTGTTCTTCTCATTCTTCTCCTGCTTCACAGTGGGCTTGCGATTCTCTCCCGGGGAAAGATCCGCATCCTTCTTCTCGTACTTCTTTGCATTCCTCATGGTCGGGTCAATTGAAATGAGAAACATGCTTGCTGGCTGCCTGATGCACTGAGGTAAGTACCGAGTCTTCGCTTCAGCTGAACAGGCCGCTGAACACCTGCATGGGACTGAGAACCCTGTATAGTTTTGAATCGATATATTCACTCAATGATTGGTATACACGTATAACCGGAAACGGTGAATATATAGTTCATAAATTTATAGATTGCGACTTCTCAGCATGAGGCCCTGACGCATACGTAGCTGTGTTCATGGCGGCAGTGGCTTGAGTGACAAACCTTTGTTTTTCAAGTCCACTGGCATTGGGTCTCATCTTAACTGCCAAAGTATATAGGGCACATGAATTCAAAAGTGAAATTGAACTTGACTTCAACTTAAATTGGCTTCAACACAAGTTCTGTGTGTCCGAGATTGTCTGAGTACCCCACTCCGGCTGAAATCCGTTGACCTCCCCTCTGAGCATCACAGTGTTGCAGGCATCATACTGGGAATCCAATTTCTGGAGTTCCTCCTCCAACTGACGTCTGGACCTTAAGCGGTTGAGGGCTGAACCCAGGACTGAACGGGATGTGTGCAAGCACCAAAAAAACTTTATATACAAATCGTTATACATGCATTTGAGCATAAATGCATTAATTTCTCACATGTGGCAACCATTGTGCTTTGCGCAGTCTATATATACCGATGAAATCGCGATTGAGGGTGCCACTTCTGCAGCAGATCACTCTTCGAGTAGGAATCGTTGATTTCCCTGACTAGGCATCTGATCTTGCCTGACTTCTGGATCATAGCGTCCAAGAACTTGCGCAGTTTCTTCTTGGTCTGGTCAGGTTTTAGCAGTCGCTTACTGACACAAAAGGATGTGGCCACAAAATCAAGGTTGGAAAAACTACACAAAGACATGATTCTATATTTTGGGGGCCTCCTCAACTTGGGAAAGTGCTTCCGGGACTGCCGGTACGGCAACTTCTGCAGATTGGCGCTCTTGAAGCTTTGTCAGGCCATCAAAGGCCCCAGCGGAAAGGTTCGGCTCCTCAGAAGCCTCCAGCGGACAGCGTGACCATGGAAGGCCTTAAGATCGGGGTATGTTTTCGTTTTGAGCAATTTGCCGTTTACATACCATGAACATATCATGCCCATATCAATGGGTCGCTTCTGTTACTGAAGGTTGAATTAAGACTGAGTAAACTATATATTAATTTGTGCTCTGAAGTGGTAAGTAGATAGCTGGCCTCCAAGGCCTTTGATTTCTTTCGGGTCTCCTCTTCAACCTGTTCCTGTTCTCGTGAACCTTTCTCCTTGATGACAACGTAGTACTCCTCCATCCCATCGTAGACGTTCTTCCTGCAAAGCTATCCATCAGTCAACGGACGACCGTTGTGACAAATCAATCGATATATAATCATATAAGCCATATGTACTTTGAGGTTTGAATGTATATCTATATATATATATATAAATGCACAGTTTGCAGTCCTCACATGTGTTGCAGCTTTTGCCAGACATGCCTTCTTTGCACCGGCGATGCGGGCCCTTGGAACAGCGGAAGCTGCGCGTAAGAGGAAGACATATATAAATGAAACCGCCAACAACGATATATAGAAACATTAAAAATAGCTACAAAGACGGAAACACGTTCTATATATACTCAGGAAAGGACGGGCTCCAACCATAGTCATCTTTCATCTCCTTTTCGGTCAGCCACTCTTCCTCAATGGTCACCTTTAGAGATGATCTTTTCTTCACCACAATCTCCAGGGAAGAGATGAACTTGGCCTCGCATGAGTGCCATGGTAATTCGCATATATGTGTGCATTTATATTCAGCTATATATAGGCAAAGACGAACAAAACATGGGTGTGAACATCGGCCACACCGGCCTTGTCGAAGTTGCAGCTCATCAGCAAAGCCGCGGTCTCATTTTGAGGCCGGGACTTGAACTCTTGAACAACCCAAGACGGGACATTCAAGTTCACCCTCTTCTTTTTTACTGTGCACAGTCTCCTGAGCTGCGCTTTTGCAGCCTCTCGCAAAAGCTCCTGATAGGAGAGGACCATATGTTCTTTAAACATCAACAATCTCTTGGCTGATTTCAAGTCGATCGATATCTATATATATATATATATACATGCAATAGCTTTCAGAATTGTTTTTTGGGCATACATTCCATATTTCATGAAGTTATGTTTAACCTTTATATGCAAAATTATCCTCATACTCTCGATCTCTCTCTATATATGATTCCGTTTGAGGCAACTGAATTCTCCTGGCGCGTTTTGCGACGAGCTGGAGGCGCCGACTTCCCGGGCTGGGTGACGGCACCAGCGCGAACTGGAGATTGATCCCCACGCACTGGGGTAGCAACTGGCCGATGAGTTCCATTGTCCTACGCACGGGGGAGAACATGGGACAACATACTCGAGCATAAGGATTGGAAGTATATACAATTAAACTGTCACATGTGCGCACGTATACCGAGTCAGGAATGATATATATACTGAAACCGATGCATGTCACGCGGCAATCTCCTTCGGGTTACCAGGCATTGAACCAGCTCCCAACGAATCAGGTTTCTCACCGGGTTCCTTTTGAGCTGTAGCAAGTTCAGTCGGCGTTGAACCAGCTCC